AGTAAATATGTACATTTGTCACGGTTTCGTGGAAGCTATGTATGTCGAAACCCCTTCCTTGCAGGGCACAAACACAATGCATGTACCAAACTGTAAGGTACCAACTGCATGTATGCTGCCTTACAAATTTATACAATGTACGTAAATGGAGCATACATACTCGTACAAACTCATCCATATATATTTACCTAAAAATGTGTGTCTGCGCTTGTTGCGTCCGTTGATTTACGATGTCGACGAATGAATTGTGTAACGAGCAGTGGCAGACGCGCAATATCAGATTTTCATTGAGGGGTCGATCGGTCGATCAGCGAAATGCGCTGGAGGAGCAGCTACAGGTCTACGTACATTTTAATCAAGAGTTAATCGAACGCACGCATGCGCAATAAAATCAAAACAAATATACAGCTACATACATACATATATATGTATGTATATATTGTCTAAAAAAAGTGCACAGCCAAGATATTGCCCCTCAGTGGGACGTCGCATAAGTCCAGTTACTTGCCTCAAATTTGCGTTTTGAATATTTCTTTTTGTTAAGCCGCTGCTTTATTTCACAACTTTGTTGGTTTTATGGGTCAAAGTATTCTCTGGTTTAAACGTTCCTCACATTGTTTGTTGTTTTCCCGTGTTAACCTAGAGGAGGTTTGTATTAATATATATGTTTATTTTTTTTTTGCTTTTATTCTTTAGCTTTAATTCAAAACATAAATCATTTTGAAATGTAAATCAGATAACGAAGGGATTTGTCTGCTTTCAAGCGTTTATCGACGCGGCTGTGATCACCAACATTGGTGTTGGTAGCATCGACGAAATTGTGAAAAAACAATTATGTGGTGTAAAATTACGTTTTTATATATTTTTCTTTTTTGTTGTGCTCTTGGCGAAATACGATTTTTTCTTCACAAACAAAGGAATTTAATTTCTCAAAGTAATCTTCTTTTGGCTCCAGCGGGTTTTTTATTATTTCATCCTTTCCACAGGGACCAAAATACACATTTTTTCAGTGGTGAGCCATGTTTTCAGATTCAGAAACAGAGAACGGAGTTAAATATGCCAGCTTGACCACAGTTCTTAGCCTAAGTGATAGATTATGCACATAATTCACTTTTTTTTTATAATTTTCGTCGCAATTCNTGTTTTCCCTTGTTAACCTAGAGGAGGTTTGTATTAATATATATGTATATTTTTTTTTTTGCTTTTATTCTTTAGCTTTAATTCAAAACATAAATCATTTTGAAATGTAAATCAGATAACGAAGGGATTTGTCTGCTTCCAAGCGTTTATCGACGCGGCTGTGATCACCAACATTGGTGTTGGTAGCATCGACGAAATTGTGTTAAACATTTATGTGGTGTAAAATTTGGTTTTTATATATTTTTCTTTTTTGTTGTGCTCTTGTCGAAATACGATTTTTTTAGGGCACAAAAAGGAATTCAATTTCTCAAAGTAATCTCCGTTTGGCTCCAGCGGGTTTTTTATTATTTCATCCTTTCCACAGGAACCAAAATACACATTTTTTCAGTGGGGACCAATTTTTTCAGATTCCGAAACAGAGAACGGAGTTAAATATGCCAGCTTGACCACAGTTCTTAGCCTAATTATAGATTATGCGCATAATTCACTTTTTTTGAATTTTCGTCTCAACTTGCGAGGTTTTTTGCTTCCAATGGATTACAAATAAAAACTACTTGCTCAAAGTTTGACATGAGCAGTTTTGTATTGAAAGCTCCTGCATGGTGAATTTAAAAGGTCGCTTATATAACTATCCTCGCTTGAAAGCAGTTTGTTGAACTGTTCTTAAGAGGGTAAGTAAGTCGAAAAAATTTGCTAACTTCATTGCTGGAAGTGCAAACAGTTTTTGAAAGTGCCTGGTTTTAAGTATTACTGGAATTCGTGATTTCAATACCGTTATTGTAGACAAACCAGCTGTGATTTTGGGTTATCAACAATTAGTTCTTTATGTGTTGAGGATTGTCTATGATCCTTAAAAACGCTTAGACCGAACCTCGTCAATCCAAGCTAGGTCGTTGAACGTAGCGGAGTTTCGTGTAAAGAGGGCATTAAAGAAGGCATGAGAAGTGCCAAGGTCGGAGTCTTTCATAAAACAAAATTTCTTCTTAGAAAACTTCGGGGATGAAAAGCTAATGAATACTATTGGCGCTCTAAATCATCAACTTCAATGGTCGGTAAATGGTTTACTGAATTGCTTTGTGGTCGTACGAGCCAATCTGACGCCGAACGCCCAGGCCGCCAAAGAAGTCGTCACGCCCAGAAATGGTAGATCAAATCCAGGGAATGAATTAGAAGTTTAGAGAATGGAATATTGTGAAGCACCAGAGGCTATAGACATCTGAACTGAGCGGATGGATTACATTTTACATGACTATTCGTGTTTGGACATGAAAGCTATCGCCGAGAAGCGCAAATGCATGAGTACCCCAAAGGAATGTTGGTCGACGTTGAACTTCAGTGCGAACAAGGTTTTGCACCGTTTCAGGTCCGTGAGCGAATCCATACATCACAATGTACCAGACACCCGGGAACAGTGACGATGAACGATGAGATGCACGCGGTATATCACATCAGTTTCCATTAAAAGGAGGTTACTCAAACCTAGTGCCAGACAGCCCGACAATGATCGTATTTTTCATACAGACTAAATCGCAAATTTACACACACTCGAAAGTACCACCGTTCACAAGCGAATAATTTTTATATGCGTGCGTTCCTTTTTGCCTGGCACTATTTTAACCCTGCAGCAATAAGGTGGCCAATTTTCCGAAAAGCGCTAGCACCAAACCGGTTAAAGTTTGACCGGCTAAAATTGGACATTTCTTTGCATCGAAAATGTAAGCCTGAGGTGAGTCCCTAAGGAACCGTTCTAGAGTTTTACAAAAGACGAGACTCTCACAGAGTGTTGGTGTCTAGAAATTGTTCATGAGTATAGCTCAAAATGTACATACAAGTGCACCAAACGTTCAAACTGAACATTCGAAAATACATTTACATGTCGTGGNTTTGACCGGCTAAAATTGGACATTTCTTTGCATCGAAAATGTAAGCCTGAAGTGAGTCCCTAAGGAACCGTTCTAGAGTATTACAAAAGACGAGACTCTCACAGAGTGGTGGTGTCTAGAAATTGTTCATGAGTTTAGCTCAAAATGTACATACAAGTGCACCAAACGTTCAAACTGAACATTCGAAAATACATTTACATGTCGTGACTGTAGCTGAGCGCGCTAAGATGCTTGCTACTATTTGTTAGCTTTAGGAATTTGGGAAGGGTCCAGGTTCAAGTCCCGTTAGATGAAACATAAAATTATTTATTTATTTTTTTTTTGTTGCTCCTTAGTTATGAAAAAGCACCGCTTAAGTGCGGAAGAAAATCGTATTCAAACGAAAAAATCTCCAAATATAAATCGACTAATCCTAGGGGAATTATGAAGGACTAGTACTAGTAGCAATAGCAACTATCCGAGGGCTAACCTAGCGGGAGTCCGAATTGCTGCAGGGAAGCTATTGGACAACTTGATCTTGGATTTAAAGCAAAAACGACCGTCTTTGGCGCATTATTTGCAGTTTCAAGACCTGAAAAAGTGGCTTGATTTTAAGGGCTTTGNGTAGCAATAGCAACTATCCGAGGGCTAACCTAGCGGGAGTCCGAATTGCTACAGGGAAGCTATTGGACAACTTGATATTGGATTTAAAGCAAAAACGACCGTCTTTGGCGAATTATTTGCAGTTTCAAGACCTGAAAAAGTGGCTTGATTTTAAGGGCTTTTGGTCGAATCGAAAGTTCATCACTGAAACGAATGCCCACTTGAAGAAGCTTGATGAAGTCTATTATCTGGAAGGCTAAAAGAAAATAGAAAAACGCTTGACTAAATGTAGGGGTGCTAAAAAGAGGTTCCTTCTCCTTCTACCAAAATAATTCAGCATTTCTGTGAAAAAATAACTTAAAAGCTCATTTTGAAAGCTGAGTGCAAGATCGACCTATCTCAGCAGCCGGTTCGAAAACGCCCTTTCTCAGAAAACTTTTCAAGAACGCCCTGCTTAAGAGTTTGATTGAACAACCACCTATTTCAGAACTTGATTTAAAAACGCCCTATATCAGAACTTGCTGCAAAAACGCCGTATCGCAAAATCAAATCTGAGATAGTGCTCTCTGCAACCACATCCTGAGATAGGGCATTTTTGAAAAGTTTTCTGAGATAGGGCGTTTTCAAAATAGCTGCCAAGATAGATTGATCTTCAACTCAGCCGTGGATTTGGTCTTAAAGTTATAAACCTGAAAAGTGCCAATGTTACAAATTATTATTTTTTTTTAGTAGAATCGACCATACACATACTTACATTCATATCTTCATATGTAGTCACCTGTGCGCCTTAGGTTTAATATTTCCTTGAATTTCGTTTATTACTTTTATTTTTTTATTTTATTGCATTTCTGCGCCGCTAGCTAATCCATACACCTATTGCTACCGGTAATATTTCACCAACACTGTCTCACTGTCATTGTTTGTAAATTTTTGTCAGAATTATTGCCAATTCAGCGCATGCAGCTATGCGGTGGCATGCAACAATGTGGCTGGTGACAGGTGTGGCAGCGGCAATTTACGAGCTTTGACCAAACGGCAAGTGAGCATAAATTAACATATAAGCTTTCGAATAAATGTGAATAAATATAGATATGTGAGTATAGTTGACAGATCAAAGCATAATTTATGACCGGACAAAAAGCAAGCAGTAGCCGGGTTTGGCGGAAAAAGCAAACATTTTTAACAGAATAACTATGTAGTATCATAGCAGCATTTGACGCGCTGGAATTTCAAGAATTTCTAGCTTTTATCTATTTAATTGTCTACCACTTTGCATTTTCTATATACATACGTATGTATACTCGTATTAGCCATACCGTAAGCTCAAATCAATGGCGAGCACTTAATTTATACGCTATTTCAAAGTGTTTTTTATATTATTTTTTTATTTTACAGAACAACAACAAATGCGAAATCATGACAACTCCATTAAGGTGCAACAGCAGCAAATGCATAAAAATAGCGTCAACAGCAACAACAATAAGAGCAGCAGTAAAAACATGACAACAAGTGAAGCAAAAGCGAATGCAATTAATAGCGAACATTACAAAGCGAGTGCTGTTATCAGCAGCGCTGGCAATAAATGTACGAGTGAGGTAACGGAAGCCGCCGCTACATCGACAGCAACAGCAACTGCGACGGCGACAACGACAACGACAGCGACACCGCCAACGACGGCGGCAAATGCAGCTGTTCCATCAACATCAGAGACGACAGCGTTGGCAACAAGCGACATAGAAATCGCATCAAATAGAGCCGCCACAACACCGGCCACATTAAGAACCCCCAGCGCCGTTGGCTTAGCCGGCAGCACCGGTTATGCAACCATGCCGCGCCGCAGTCTCAGCGGCAGCAGCCACAGTCACCATCACACCAACGGTGGCAACGCGAACGCGAAATGCGGAAGCGGCAGTGGTAGTACTAGTGGCGGCATAGCCATGACAGCTGATAAGGCCACGACGGCGAGTGACGCGACGGCGGACAACTGCCGCAAATTGGCCGCCACTTTGGACAATCTCGACTTGGCTTTGGTGCGCGATTTGACCGACGATGATGGCGAGGACTCGTATGCGGCCTTTCAAGAGTATCTGGAACGTGTAGAGGTAAGTGCGCCAGCAAAATTAAAAGAAAATCTCCCACTGATAACAGTAAATAAGTAGGGCTTTGTAGAAATTTCAACTACTGAGCTTGTTTTTGTGCTGCCAATTTGTGCAGTCATTATTTTATTTTTTTTTTAAGTATGGGGAATTCTTTTTTAAACGATCTACCCCACCTCCGCATTTTGCTTGTGCGAAAAAAAATGTTTTGAGCACATGAAAAAATTGGGCATGAGGTGTAGTTTTTGATACCGTCTGGTTTTTGAGAAAAAAAATGTCTAACCTCAAACTAACTGTCGAAGGAGACGCGTGTCGCCAAAAAATGCTGGTATGTATTTCATCAGAAATGACAAAAAAAATTTAAATATTCAAAAACTTCAAACAAAATATTTGATNGTAGTTTTTGATACCGTCTGGTTTTTGAGAAAAAAAATGTCTAACCTCAACTAACTGTCGAAGGAGACGCCTGTCGCCAAAAAATGCTGGTATGTATTTCATCAGAATGAAAACTTCAAACAAAATATTTGAAAAAAAATGTCAACAAACTTTGGTACAAACTTCAAGATCTTTGATTAGATTTCTTCGATAGATTTTGGGTTTGCAGTTTTTGCAGCCAATTCTTCTATTTCGCTTTAGTTAAAAGTAAAGAAGACCTCNAAAAAATGTCAACAAACTTTGGTACAAACTTCAAGATCTTTGATTAGATTTCTTCGATAGATTTTGGGTTTGCAGTTTTTGCAGCCAATTCTTCTATTTCGCTTTAGTTAAAAGTAAAGAAGACCTCCATTTGATTTTTTTATTTTACTTTATTGTTGAAGGCGTTTCTCATTTCTTTACATACTTCTTATGGGAGAAAAAGAGCAACACCTTCAACAAAAAAAAACAAATGAAATTTTTATCAAAGTTGTTTCATTTTTTTTTTAATATTGCACAAAGTTTTACACGTGAATTTATAGGGTTTTTCAAAAAGAAGAAAGTATTTTTATAAAAAATAATTAAAATACAACAAATTTTTTAAACTTGGCAATATATATATATATGTTGCGCTTATAATTTTGGCACAGAGTGTACATTCGCTATTTATTTACCACATATGCCTGCGAGAGTCTATAAATAATTGCGCACATACATATATACATAGTGTGTATACTCGTTACAGTCGAAAATAGGTTTTTAGAACCAAAATACCTTTAGAGAAAATAGTTAAAAGAAAAATCATGAAACAATTGCGCAAGTCTTGTTTATGTTTATGTTTGCGCTGCGTTGCGTTGCTTGCCTTCACGTCAAATTGCCATTTTTTCCATTCGCTTTTTCACATATATTTTTTACGGTTATTTAGCTAAGGCAAATGTTGCTATTTAGTTGATTTTGCATTATTTTTTTCTTTTCAACTACTTTATTGTTTTCTATGCAGCGCAAATCCTCTTATGTCACTATAAAGCTACACAAATGCGACGAGGCTGTTAAAATGCTCACGCGCACGCGCACGCGTTCATGCAATGCGTTTTTATATTACTTTTTAGTTTTTCTGTTGACTTGTTATACCCGAGCGCACTTGTGCACAAGGGTATATTAATTTTG